CTGTGGAGCAAGACGTGGCCATCTTGACCTCGGGTCAGTTGTGATAGTGGCCTTCTTGTCGTAAGAGGATAAAAAGTCCTGCCCCTGCCCGTGGCTGATCAAGCAGTGCTTCTGCCTGACCCTCTGTGAGCAGGACCAAAGTAAAAATTTGAACCACGAGAGTTTATAATCACTGTCATCTGGCACTCTTTTCTGCGCATGCTTGTGCTTTTATCCCTTCCACTAAAGGCAGATCAGTCACATTTACCTTTATTTCTTTCTAATATCTCAGTTAAGCAGGCTCATTTCTAGTCACAGGAACTTTCTTCACATTCAGCTTGCCACTGTACTGGTGCAGCATGGAAGTGCCTGGTGCGAGATTTAAAACGGACTTCAGTGCTCCGGTAAAATCTTGTGTTGGTCTCTTCTAGATTGGAGATATACAGATGAGGCCCACGGAGCAGATATCATAGCAGACGAAGAGGACTGTGAGCAGCACCGTGTATCCACTCCACTTCGAACCCTCTGGCAATTTAGGGTGTTGTCGGCTGGCTAGCAACGTTTTAATCAAGTACCAAGGATCATGTTTGAAGAATTCTTTTTCTCTCCCTCTCTCTGAGCTGGTGCTGGTGCTGAGCCAGTTTAAAAAGAAATAGTAGTGGGTCTCCTTCTCCCCCACTCCTTTCTGAAACTGCTTAAGAGTAAAATGTATTTTAAAATAATGCGGGGAAGTGGTTTGTGGAAGATTGTTTTCTCCAGGCTGGTTTATTCTTCCTTTTGCTTTCTTTTCAAGGTTTGTTTGATATTATTTGCTGATGCTGTGTCTGGACATAGGTGAAGTGGCACAAGATGTTTGCCAGCTTCAGTGTGCTTAGGGTTTGAGATTTTTAGTGGATGTCACACATGAATCCATCTAATTTAGGGGTTTATTTTCATCAGATTGATTACTGATGGTAATGATGCATGTGATTTCTACTTCTTTCATATTCCACTGCCCTGTACAATCTCACCCACCTCCCCAAACCCTCCTTTCCCATTCACATGAATCACGCCTGCCAAGTTTGAGGAAGTATAAATGTGTGTGCTTGCTATTTCTCTTTCTTTCTAGGTAGGTAGGTAAATAGTTGGAGGAAAAGTACCTGTACTTCTGCAGGTTAGGATGATCATCTAAGTGGCATAGTTACAGTAAGAGTGAGTTGTTTGGTATTTTTAATAAAAACTAAATGTGTGCTGTCTTGTGATCACCTCTATCCTTGGTATCATCTCCCAGCACTCTTGATGTTTTTGTATGTGATATTTGCATGCATTGACACTTTTCTGGAAATACTGATCAGTCTTAGAAAGATGTATGGTGCTGTTTAAATGCTGGTGCTGATGGGCTGGAAATGTTGAAAGTTTGTTTATATGCAGAGATACAAACTCGGAGAGAGAGAGAGTGAAATGAACCATGCCGAAGCTGTCCAAAATGAAAAAGATACTAGTAGGGGCATTTGCTAACAAAGCAGCAGAGAAAAGGTCTGGTTCAGATCTCGTCGTAGTGCTACGCTGGTTCAGCCCCATTGTTTTGCTCTGGGTTTATTCTATCTTGAGGGAGAAGAGAATCAGCCTCAAAGCTGATACATGCAGAGCTGGAGACCACTTGAGTTGTCTTAAGACTCTTGCAGGGCGGCAGAAAGACGTCTGTGTGTAGTCCAGCTTGCGGCAGAGCTGTGGAGCTGTTAATGTATATGTTGCCTTAAGGTTGCAGACTCGCTCCTGCTGCGCTCTGGACTTTCTGTAGTGTTTTGGAAGGTGAACTGTTGGTTTCGGTGGAGCAGGTACGGTCAGTTGATTGGAGCGAAGGATTGGGAGCCAGAGAAACTCGGGTTGGATTGTTTTGCTTATACCAGTATAGCTCTGTGGGAGTTCATCTGTGTTACACCACCATAATGGAGACCAGAATTGGGCCACTATGACATGGGTTTCAACTCCCTATAAAGCCTTGGGCAAGTCACTTTACCTCTCTGCCTCAGTTTCCCCATCTGTAAAATGGGGATAATAATACTTACCTACCTCACAGGGGTGTTGTGAGGACTCGCAAACTTTTGTAAAGCACTTTGAATATGAGAAGCGCTATGTAAGTGCTGAGTGTTGATATGAAGTATTATTATTAATTAAATCTTGTGATACATAGAATTCCTTGTGCCAAAGGTGAGCAACTGTAGAAGGATACAAGGAGAAAACTGGTAAAACATTCCTTCGTAATGGCAAAACAAAGGCAATTTGCCCCTTTTTTTCCTCTTTATAAATACATGCTCGTGGTGTGTTCTGTCCATTCCTCATCTGTCACCAGTTTTTACTGGCAAGTACACATAGCCTCACTGGATTTGGCCTTTTAATTTACTGTGAGTGAAATTCATGCCCTGTGGTGAAGTCTTGCATGACTGCAATGCACTGCCCTCCTCTGCCTGGCCGAGGTGGTGGCTTTGTGTTGGGTTCCTTGCTGGGTTTCAGCTGTGGCATTGAGTTAGCTCGTGTCCTGCAAGGAGCAGCCAGTCCAGGTCTGCACGCAGCCAGCGATCCCCACTGCAGCAGAGAGCCTGCGCCAGCTGGAAAATAGCTTCAGTCTCCGTGCCACCGTGATCCTGTTTGGAGCCACTTGGTTAAGGAAGGTTCAGGCACTGCTGTGCTTTTTTATAACACCCCTGTGGTGTTCAGCTAGACTCGATATGAAAACTCCCAGTGTTTTCCGTAGGGTTTCTTTTGCAGGAGCTTGTTGAAATTCAGCAGATGCTCTGTGCAGTGTTGTGCCATCTTTTTAAGAGAAGATGGTTGAACTAGGAGTTGGAGGTATTAAAAAAAAGGAAAAAAAAAAAAAGGTTGAGAAATTAGGAACATCTGAGCAGAAAAAAAAATCAGCAGAAATGTGCGTAGCAGTAGTGAAACGTCTGAATTGGTGGCCGCAACTGTGTACAAAGTTAAACAGATGTTGAAATGTATGGCTGAGGAGGGACCTACCTTATCTTTCTGCTCTGTAAAAGGAGGCTTCAGAAAGAATTGCTTAAGATGTAGGGCTTTGAAAAAGGGCCAGTCTGGGTAGTTGAGTAGTTGCTGCCTGCAAACACGACCTGGCTGACTTGCAGCCCTGGAACTTTGTTTTGTTTGTTTGGTGTTTTTTTTTTGTTTTGTTTTGTTTTTGTTTTTGTTTGTTTGTTTGTTTGTTTTTGTTTTTTTTTTTCCCCCAGGAACATTTGTGACATTTGCAAGACTATAAAATAACCTTGAAATGATATCCATTATATTTTTCCATTTCAAATATATTTTCAGGGGATAATTCCTGCTGCCCGTTAACTTCCCATGTGAAGCATGGCCTGTGGAGGGGTTTGTTGTGGGTTGTGTGGCCACTCTGCCTCGTGTAACCTGGCGGCACCTTGAGCCGCCTTCCTGGGATGAGATGGGATCGGCAGCATGACTCTGAGGCATTTAAAAACCCCAAACAGGAGGATGAACTGTGTAATTTATCAGTAGGTTTCTAATTGTGAACTGTAAAATAAAGACTAAAAAAAGAGGCACACCATGGTTCTTTTGTTGTGTATATTGTAGTTTTTGTGTTAAAACGCAACATCCTTTTTACTGTTCACAGCTGAACCTTTCTTTTGTGAAGAGTTCAAACATAAATGTGTGGGTTTGGTGCTTCGTGAGAAAAAACATAATTGCTTTCTAGAGCAGAACAGCATCCAGTTGTCTCACCGATAACCTGTGGAGGTTGAACTTGCCCATCCTTGTCCAAATGAAGCTGCACTCCACAGAGGTTCGCTGAAATCCCCAGGTAGGCAGCTGGGCACGCCTGGGTTTAACTAAACTATGCAAGGGATGAGCCGCTATTGCTACTCGGACTTGGATATTGAACTCTTTCACTCTCTCGTGCGCGCCTCGAAACAAGATAGATTATCGTCATTGTTAACTGAAGGCATTTTTTGTTCCCCAGTCCCCTTTCAGCTTGTCCAAGCGCAGAGGCACACTCCTGAGCTCGGGTTTGCTGATAAGGTTTTTGCAAATAAATAATGAGTAGCTGAATTGGCTGCCATTGCTGGACTTGAGGCAGATATTTTGGATACCTTGTAAATAGGTAGAGAGCATTTGTAGAATTAAACCCATGGTTTTTTTCCTGTTCTTATGCTTTTATTTTTTTGTTGTTGTTGTATATGGTACGTGTCATCAGTTACGTTAACATGTTTGCTGGAGGTACAGCAGTTTTATCTGGTAGGTTACGTGTTCTCAGGGGACTGGTCTCAGTTCTCATTTTTTTGAGGGAGTGGAGCCATGTGGGCAGTTGGCTCTGGTAAGCAGCAGGAAAAACATGATTTTACTTGAGATCTCTGAAGCTGCAAAACCGACTTGGTTATATTTTTGAGGCCTGGTGTAACTTGTCAACGTTTCAGACTAACAGTATAGAAAAGGACTGAAACGCTTCTGGTTCTCTCCGCAAAATCCTTGAAAAATGATGTTGTCGTGGTTTGTCCCCCGTGGCCTATGTGTTTGCCAGAGAGACAAACCCCTGGAAGCCCTAAACCAGTTTCTGCGAATGACCTGGTTCCTGCTTTGCCTGCCCCTTTATGAAATTAAAAGATGGATATAAAATACCACCTCATTCAAAGAGCAGGATTGTGGTGTAAAGTGACAAGTTTGGAGTGGGTCTGGCCGCGGGGCTTGCCCGGTGCCCTGTTTAGGGAAGCATTCCCTGTACCGGTGTGGTACGCTGGCCGGGCCATCGCCCTCAGAACGCGTGTTTCCAGCCCACTAGATGCTCTTTGGACAATTTCCATTGTCTTTGGGGATTTATAGCCCGCCTGAGCACACACGGCCTTTTGGGAGCGGGGTCAGAGAGAGTTACCCTAGCGTAACTGCAGGTCAAACACTCAAATTTTAATATTAAAAATCTGTATTTAATTAATATTGAAAAGCAGAGGCTCCGCGCCCCTCCCCGGGGCGACACGGCGGGGTCCGCCCGCCGCCAGGCGGCGCTGCGGCGCGGGGCGGGGCCTCCCTCCCGGAAGCGGCGCACGCGGACGGTAGGAGAGGGGCCCACGCGTGTTCGCGGCGCCCGGCCCACCTTCCCCTTCCCTCTGTGCCCCTTTCCCGCCCATCCGCGCCGCCAGCCCGGTGTTGTCTGTGGAGCTGAGCGCGGTGTTTTCCCCCAGGGCCCCGCGCTCGTCTCCCGTGCCCGTGGGCTGGGGCGGGGTCGCCCCCCCCCCCCCCCCCCCAACCCGGCTGCGGCTTGAGGCCGGCCCGCCTCCCGTGAGCAAGTCGCCGGTGCCTGCGCTGGCCACTCTCCCGCCCCGCGTGGAATAATGGCGCAAGCCCTCAAGCCCAGCGTTTGGAGGGCCGTGGGGCTGTCACCCGCGCCCCGCGGCCGCTGGTGGAGTGGGGGGAGGTACCGCTCCACTCAGGAGCCGCGCCCCCCGCCTCTCCCACTGCCGGCCCCGGGTGGGGATGAGGAAGGGCCCCCACGAGGTGGGGAGGGCGGCAGTCGGCTTCCCCCACCAGCCCTCCCGGCGGTTTCTCGAGTGGCGGGCGACCCCCGCACCTCCACGCAGAGCCACCCACCAGCGTGGCACAAGCCCTGCGAGCGTGGGGCCAGGCGGGCTGCGGCAGCTCACGGGGAGCCGTGGGGCTCGCGCGAGGGCGACTCCTGGAAGGCGAGGAAGAGGCCGGAGCGAAGGCCGCTGCCCACGCAGAGGACCAGGGGCTCGGAGATCCTGTTTGGGGTGGCCCCCTGCTCCCTGGCCCTGGCTCAGGCGCGAAGGGACCCGCTCAGGCTCTTCCTCAAGCAGAGCAGCGGCCCCCGGCGCCTTGTGATGAGCGAGTTCGTCCTTCAGGCCACGGCCCGCGGCGTCCCCGTGCACCACGTCCCGCGGAGAGAGCTGGACGCTCTTTGCGGGGGCCGGGTCCACCAGGGAGTTTGTTTGGAGGCCACCCCTCTCCGTTTCAAGAGTTTGGAAGAAGCTGAAAAGTCTGATCTGGGGCATGAGGGGAACCCGAGCAGGCAGCTGGTTTGGCTGGTGTTGGAGGAGATCCAGGATCCCATGAACCTGGGGGCTCTGCTGCGCTCCGCGTACTTCTTGGGGGTGGACAGAGTGGTGGCAACCCAGAGGAACAGGTATGGGGTTGGTTCTCTGCTCCTTCAGCTTTTCTCTTTCTTTTCCTGCTGGCTCCCAAAGGGGTTTCTAGCCTGCACTGCTCGACAGCTTCTTCAGAGCGATTTCTAGGACTGAGGTGGAGAGCTGGGTTTGGCTAGCTGCTGCTTTGCGTTGCTCTCCACAGGGAGGCTGCGGGATGAGGTATTCCAGGCTGGTAAGGACCTTCCCTGGGTGCTTTGTGTTTTAACCCATTTTGTCTTTCAGTTGTCCACCTGCGCACGAAACTGCTGTAACCTATTTCCTGGGTTAATTTCTGAGCCTTCCTATTCTCCATAGGAAAATATGTCTGTATAGTGAGTGAGATCTTTAGTGGACTAGTTGGAATTGGGTTGCAGAGGCAAGAGAAGGAAATACAGAAAGAAAAATTCTCCTGGATTTCCGTTTTTGCTTTCGTATGTCACTTTACCTTTCTTTTTTCCTTGCAGCTGCCCCTTGACTCCGACAGTGAGCAAAGCTAGCTCTGGAGTTATGGAAGTCTTCGATGTCTACAGCACAGATGATCTCCAAAGCTTTTTGAAGGTACGATGATCCGCTTTCCTTTCAAGACATGTCAAATGTTGCATTTGTTGAACAGAGAGGAGGTACAGGAAAAGTTATTTGCAGCGTCCCGTGCTCCTGCTCTGCACTCCTGCTTGCTGCCGGTGGTCTGTGCTGTCGCACCACCTCTGATGGGCACGCAGCCCTGCTCCCATTCCGTCGGGTGGGGTAACAGGTCTGAGCTGTGGGTCTTTTTCTGGAAGATGGTGGTAGCAGGATAACGCCGTGTTTATCTCCCGTGCTCAGGCTGCGAGCTCGGTAAGACGGGGGCTGTCTCCCTTTCCCTCTGTGGGGACCGGAGCCAGTGCTGCTGCTTGCAGGTCTTGCTCGGCGTGTGTCAGAGGCAGCATCCTGGGGCCCAGGCACATGATGGCAGCATTGGGCAACCTTTGGAGCAGGGGAGAGAGGAGAAACCAGGGCTGGTGAGAGCTGCTGGGAATCTTTTTACGCTGTAGCTATGCAGTGAGGTGAGACAGGCACTTCTACAGAACGTGCTGCAAAAGGAAAGGGAATGCATGTTGAAAAACGTGACTCAAATTGAAACAAACCCAGGGATGTTGCTTTGAATTGGCAGAGTGCATCCATCCCCTGGGACAGCACTGTGTGACTGCTTCGACTCCTCGTGGAGGTCCCCCCTTGCCTTGGCTGGGCTGGGGACCGGCTGAATATCATGTGTGTGCAGAGCAGGGAGCTCCCCTGCTCGTGTGGGAACCCCCAGACGACTGGGGGAGCAGTGGGGCTGGAGGGTTCAGCCTGGGATGGGAGGGCAGAGGCTGCAGACCCTCAGGGGAACGGAGGCAGCCAGTCTGTGCTCCCGGGGTCGCTGCGTGCCCGTGTCCCTTTGGGGAAGAGCTCGTCGTAGGCTGGTGTGACGGTGAGGAGGCTGAGCAGAGGTAAGCCTGGGCTCTTCCTGCTTGGTGCTAGAAAACCTGGGTCCAGCTGTACAGTAAGTCTGTGGCAGCCTGAGGACTGGGTGATGGTGAAATGAAAGATACATAAAATACATTGATATTTAATTGAAACAGCTGGAAGAATCACTTCGTTACTGTAAAGCTTGAATTATTAACCTTTTGAGCCATTGCAGCAGTTCATTTAATTGGCCCCAGATTCACTGGCCTAACCCTTGGCATTGCCTGGCTGGTATAAATTTGATATAACATAATGTAAAAAGTGCCAATTTCACAGGAAATGAAGCTGGCAAGAAGCAGCAGCTCTTCTATTGTTGAAATGGATTTCCAAGACGAATAATTAAGTCTCCTTTTACCAGGGTGCAGGAGGGAAGGCTGGTTCTGTGAGGCACGGAGTGTTGAGTGCCCTGCCTTTTGTATGAGCTGATTTTTGGCACCTGGGTTTGAAAATGTGCTCTTGTGTTTGAAAACGCTACTGTGGGCTTCTGAGGGCTGAGCCTGCATTGAGAACTTCCACTGCATTGCTCTGTGGATTAGCCTCCTGCTAATTTGTTTAACACTACTCTTTTTGGGTGCTTTTCTGTCAAAAACCTCCCTAGAACTGTTGTATGGGCAAAAAAAGGCTTTTCAGTTACTGTTTGTTTGCTTGCTGAACTGGAATAAACACCAGAAGGAAAATTACTTCTTTTTTTTAATTATTTTTCTTTCTTTTTGTTTTTTTTTTTTTTTTCCTTAAATCAAGGTTTGTGTGCTGGTACTGGGAGGAATTTTCTGGTAAAAAATCAAGGGATGACAAAAACTAGAAAAGCCAGTCTGCTTAACTGAAAACATAAAAAAAAAAAAAAAGTGTGTTTGCATACTTGACTTATTTTCTTTTAAGCTTGAAAAATAGGCAATTTAAAAATATTTGTTTACTTTCCCTTTCTAGACTAAAACTGCAGAAGGCTGGGAAGTCGTGGGAACGGTCAGCAAGCCTGAGGATGCGGAAAATATTCCTGTCATGAATTGCTTGGAATTTCAGTGGAATAAACCCGTTATTATAGTAATAGGTATTTCAATTTACAGAGCTCTGGGCTTGGTGGAAGTGTCTGTGTGAGGGAGCGATCAGGGTGATGTTTCACTCCAAAGCTGGTTGCAGGTCTGTTACATGACATCACACTTTGGTCGGGAAAAGAAAAGCTGAGCAAGAAGTACTACAGTGATCTGGCTGCAAATGAAATAGTCACCCAGGAGAAGAGGGGGAGCTGAGACGCCTCCCAGTAGGAACTGCAAGAACAAACCGGTTTGTGTAGAGGAGCAAGGAGTTTAGTACCTGCAGAGGGTCCAGATGGCAGTTGTCAGTGGCAGGACAGGTCTGGGTCAGCGTAGCCATGGTGTGTTGTTTTGCATTGTGTTCTGCAGCGCTTTTGATCCTGTCCTAGAGCCCTGAGCCTGGATTTTCTGTGCTGGCGAGCCACAAACAGGGGTGAGGGTCCCAGAGGTACGTGTTTGCTCGTACTGCGCTGAGGCAGTAATGGTGAGCGGTGCCGTGTCTTTGCTCTGTCATGTTTCCTCTTTAAAAAACAAACAGGAACGTGCCCGGCTTTGGAGGGAAGCACGAGGAGCTGTTGCTGGGGATGGTCTGAGCACACAGTTGGGTTTCGTGGCACAGGGACGGGTCAGCTGCTGCTTTTGTACCCCCAGGAGCAGGAGGAGCTGTTGGCTGCTGCGGTTACAGGCAGGAGGGGCGGGTGTGACCTCCCCCCTGCCAGACCTGGGCGCCGTTTGAGCAATGGGCGCCGCTTGCCGGAGCACCTGAAGTGGGTGATTCCTCCAGGGCCCTCTGCTTCTCCCTGCTCCTTGTGTAGATGAGACTTGCAAAGGATGCTGTCTTCTGTGTGCAGAGTTTGGGGTTGCGCAGCCTCCCGGAAGGTGAAGAGAAAGGGAGTAACGGCCTCGTGGCAGCTAGGGAAAGAAATTCACCCAGGAGTGCTGCCCTCGGCACCCTTGTGCGGCCATGCCGTAGCCCCCCACTTCATGTCACCTGTCACAAGAGCTGGTTTGAGCTTTTACACTTGGAAGTAGTGTCATGCTGGCGATGAGCCATCGAGGGGCTGTAATCCTGCCCTGTGCTGCGGTTTTCTTGGCTCAGAAGACATTCCTTTAATTAAAATGTTTATTGAACTCCCAGAAATACTGACAAGACAACGCTGCAAATCTGGCATCTCTACAAGATGTGTGGAGCTATATTATAAAGGGAGCAGGGAGGCTGGCAGCGCTGCTGATGGACCACAAAGAAATGCATCCCAGAAACGACAACACCAGGAGAAAGGAAGGGGGTGAAAGTGGCAGTGGCATCGTTACCTTGAATTATGAGAGATTTCTCCAGGAAAAAGTCCAAATATCCTTTTGTCAAGGGAGATTGGAGGCTGATTGGTAGATGCATGAGGAGAGCTCCCGGACCTTGCAGCAGTAATGATTTCAACTCTCTGCTGAGCACTAACTCTTTGCTGAAAAGAAAATTGAACATTACAGTCATCTGATGCTGAGGTTGTTTGAAGAAACGTCCTAGATCTGAATATGTAGCGTACCTGCAGCTGCAGAGAGAAACAGAGATAATTTAGCATGGTAGTGAGCTTCCTAGCATTGCACAGATTGTCTTGTAAGCTAAGCATTTGCAGACTTGAATTCACGCTCCTGGCATCCTCGCTGGCTTGGCAGAGAGCGATTTGGACAGTCCAGCTTAATGTTGTCTGTGCTGGAGTCATTGCCGAAGGTGACAGGCAGGCTGGCTGCCCTGAAGACGAGGAGGCTTGTGTGAACAGGAACAGATTGGGAGCAGTTAGATGTCTGAGCAAGAAGAGTTTCTGGGTAATTTGTTCTTCTTACACATTCAGTCTTTAGCTTGGGGTTTAAGGCTGTTCGTGAAATTGGTGGTTCTACTGAGATGCTCATTTTGCATATTTCTCTGAACTGCCAGCGCGGCTACTTCTGCCTGCATTTGACCTTCCTGCACTGGAAACTGCAGTTCTTACAGTGGTGTTAATTGTAAGTGGGGCAGGAAACCTGTTCTGTCATTTCAGCCAAGCTCTAACTCTGGCCTTTGAGGCCTGTCAGTGAGGACCAAAGCTAAGAGATGGAAGTCAAAGATCAGAGTCAAAGCGGGAAGTGTTTTGTTCACCAGTATAAGCTAGGATTCAATCCGATTCAGTCAATACTCCCTCCTTCGTGTCACACTGCAAGTCTTTTTGCCCTGAATTTATGGTTCCTAATTATTTTAAGCAGCCAGAGCCATAAAAAGCTTTGTAAAAGCTGGAAGCAAAATTGCTGCCTTTATTAGGAATCGTAAGACCCTTATCAGGGAGAGGAGAGGATCGCTCCAGGAGCCGTCACACCTCTGGCAATAGCTGCTGTCCCAGTTGGAGAGTCCCACGAGTGTGGTTTGAGAGCCTCAGGAGGCAAATATGACTCTAAGTTGTAAAACTTTTCTGTGTTGAATCAGGAAAAAGTAGGATAATTTTTTTTTTTTCTCGAAGCATCCCTAGAGAGCCACGGTCTAGCGATGAAGAGACAGGCCGGGCCATGGCGGGCCTGGCTTCGATTTCTTGTGTCAGTCAGGCTTCCCCTGTGACCTTGGATAGCTCACCCAGGCCTTGCCTGCACTGCTGGCTTACAGCAGGAGGAAAATAATGGTTAGGGTGGGATTTTGGTTTTCTGAAAGTTCATTTACCCCAGCCAAAGGATGCTTTTGCCCATGTGGCTCGTTTCATGTGGGAAGGTGATGCAAGACGCATTACCTAAAGCATGCTTTTCCCTACACAAAATGCATCTTGCCAGTTAGATCAGGCCAGCAAAACATGAGACTGGACCTCAGCTTCCAGTCCGTGAAATGGAAATAGTAGCATGTTCCTACCCTGTGCAGTCAGAGGGGTGTCGTGCAGATCGACGTGGGGACCTGCTGGGGAGGTGCTATAAGGAGACACCAGGGGAAGAATTTTGTGGCAGCTCAGCCCAGCAAGGAGCTCATCTGCCCTATGGAGTGAATCTCCAGTGGTATAGAAAGTGCTAAAATCGTCCACGTACGCTGTTAAAACTTCAGGTAAGTGTCTACAATGGGGTGAGCTGAGCGAGGCCTTGGTGCCAGCGCTGGTCACGCAGGCAGCAGCCCTTGGTAGGCAGCACGTGCCCCAGTGGTGCCGTCCCGGGACGAGTCTGGGGTCAGGGTACGGCTGTTGAAGGGGAACGTTTGGCTTCCAGCATGCTGGGCCTCTTTAATCAGCGGGTGAGCACATCTCTGAAGTGAGCTGGGTATTTTGGCAGCCGTGTAGCTGTCCGCGTAACTCTAAATAATGAATGTGGAAGAATTCTTTGGGGAGCCGAGCGGGCTGGGAGGTCTGTGGTCTTCTGCATTTTCACTTGTCTGCACGCAGGATTGTTTAAAGCCTCTCCCTTTCCATTTCCCTTTGTGACAGAGTGAGTCAAACAACTACTAATGACCTGGGATAGATTTCAACTCTGTTTCACCAGTGTATCAGCCCAAACATATCAGGGCTGTTGGATGGTTTAACAACTAATCAATTGAAGCCTCTGGTTAAACTGTCTGCATTCACAAGTTGCACCCAGCTGGTGGTACTGTGTGCTGAAAAGGCTGAACCCGTCACTATCAATAGGGATGTGGGATTTGCTGGACCAGATCAGGCCTGTGGCCTCTCTTCTGCTGCTTCCACAGGGATCTCTGCGCTTGCCGCGGCGCGCGCAGGCGTGTCGCACAGGTAGCCCTCAAAAACTCTTCAGGTGCTGGAGGACAGATCCAGGGAGGCTGGAGTGGTGCCGGGAAGGGGAGGCGGGAAAGGCGCCCGTCTCGCCTCTGGCAGTTCTTGGCTGTGGGAGCTGGTGAGGTTGCTGGTGAGCTCAGGGGCAAAGGTGTAGTTGTGATGGAGCATTAGCAAGAACTGTGCTTGGGAGGGGGGGGAAAAAGGGACGTGGCAGCGGCTGCGAGCTGACCTGAGCGGTGTCTGTCTTCTGCAGGTAGCGAAGGCGATGGGCTTTCCCTGGAGACGCAGCTCTTGTGCCATCGGATGCTGGCCGTACCCCCTGGCAGAGCGCTTCACCCCGGGATCGAGTCGCTGAACGTCTCTGTTGCTTCAGGTAAAAACAGTTCTGAGCACAAAGGCGTCATAATCCAAATTTCCGTATTTAAAAATCAAACATCCAGGCCCGCAGGATAATTTTCTTGTGGTTTAAAAAAAGGTCTTTATTTTTACTTTCCTACAGGTATTCTCCTCCACTCCATCTGCAGCCAAAAGCTGAGGCACTGACATTTTTTTATATTTGGTGGGGGAAGCTGCTCGGCGTTTCGTGGCTGTGCTCTGCTGGTGTGGATGTGGAAGTGCTTTTTCCAGGGTCTTCACCGTCGCTGCAAGTTAACAGCGAGAGCCCCACTGACCTCAGCTGCATCTTGGCTGACACACGTTGCCACCGGAACCCTGGGCTTAACGCCGAAGTCAGACACCTGCACGGACTGGGTAACACCTCCCACCGGCACCACGGGGGAGCAGCTGCAAGGGAGACAAAGATAGGTTTTTTAAAAGCAGACAGCCAAATCTTTCAGTTCTTGCAGTAAAATACCCGGTGACGGCTGCGAGCGTTGTGCTCGTTGCACGGGGGACTTTGTATATCGCTCGGGATTTTGTACATCACTCGTGCTGTGGAGAGAATTCGGGCTGTAGGCGAGAGACGGGACTGAGAGCAGCCGAGCCCCGTGCCCACCCGAGCCCACCCTTAGCAGCCGAGAGGGTGCTGGTGAGAGCCAGGTATGATTTTGGGACTACTCGGTAGCAATTTCTTTACAGAGGCGGTTTCTCTGTTACATGTAGCTGCTCGAATGTCTGAAAACACACCGTGTTGTGTTTGGTTGGAAGCCGGGTCCGCAGCCCTGCCGAGGGCTGGACGGGAGCTGTTAGAAAACGGCCGCAGCGGGGAAAAAACGCAGCCCAGTGAAATAAAGGCTCTGTGAAGATTGGCTGTAGACCGGAATCAATCCTTTCGGTGTCATATATAAATCCAGAGCGTGATCAGTGGGACAGAGCACTTCCTTCAGGTGGGAAGGGGAATCGGGAGCTTCTTCTCTTCTTCTGGGGGAAGTTTCCTTCCCACGGTGGGCCTGATCCTACTGGATGCTCAGCTGCCCCAGCACCACCGGCCCTGCTGACGGCATGGCAGGTGGGGTGAGGGCAGCTTCATTTGCAAATATCCTGGTTGAAAACCAGGCTGGCTAAATTATTGAGAACCAAATGAATGTTATCACTTAGCACCTTAATTATTTTATTTAGCTACTGTGGCCCTTTGCATAGGATTCCTCATTAACACTTAATTTACAGTGCCCTTTAGGGATAATTTCAAACAATTCCGCTTAGTCTCCCCGCTTCCCCCTTCCAAATGAACAAGTAAATCACTCAGAGTGACTAATTAGGACTTTCCTTTGAGCTAAATGAAGTCTGTAAACGGGTCTGTGGATGTGGAGGTTTTTCAGATGTGTTCCTGAGAGGGCCTGGCCCTGGGTGCTGCGGCGGTGGGTGGCTGCGGGGCTGGGGACACCCGGGGTGCCCGGGGAGGGGGACAGGACCCGGAGCTCCAGAGGAGTGGAGCGTTCACTGCTGTGGCTGCGGCTGCGACGGAGAGGGTGCCTGGCACGGAGGCACGTCTCCTGGGCCGTGTCTGCCCCCTCGCCAGTGGAAAAGGGCAAAACCCAAATCCCTCCAAAATGTTTCTGTCGTGGAAGCAGGGCTTTGCTGCCTGAGTCCGAAGGCGAGCCGGTCACGGAATAGCGGGGAACTGGTGCACTGCTGGGATGACAGCTCTTGCGTTTTGTTAGCTGAATGTCTTTTGGTTTGGTTTGTTTTATTTGATTGCTGAAATGGAAAGCCTCCGGGGCAGGAGGCTGCAGGCCAGTCCCCGGCGCTGCTCCCGCAGCCGTGGGTGTCCCAGCAGAGGGTGCCCGTGGCTCAGGTTTGCTTATTTTTCCAAAGAAAGATTCAGTGGTTGGGGCTCACTGAATCCTTCCTTTCCAGAGGCAGGGATGAGGATAAAGCTGTTTCTTTATTCTTGACCTATAAGTAAATAAATATATTTCAATTTCATAGGAAGAGTTTCTCCTTTTTTCTTTATTTTTTTTTTCTTCTTTTTTTTCTTTTTTCTTTTTTCTTTCTTTTTCTTTTTTCTTTTTTTTTTGTCTTTTTTTTCCTTTTTTTCCTTTTCTTTTTTATTTTTTTCTTTTTTCGTTTTTCTTTTTTCTTTCTTTTTTCTTTTTCCTTTTATTCTTTTTTTCTTTTTTCTTTTTTCTTTTTCTCTTTTTTCTTTTTTCTTTTTTCTTTTTTCTCTTCTTTCCTTTTTTTTTTTTTCTTTTTTTCTCCTTTTTTCCTTTTTTCTCCCTTTTTCTTTTTTTTCTTTTTAACTATTTGAGCAGTACTTTCATGGAGGAGCCACCTCACTGGCTTTGCACGTGTTTGGGAAAGCCAGGCGCTGTCAGGCTGTGCTTAGCCATGCTGGCTCCCACCCCCAACGAGGAGGCAGGTGAGTAACGATGGAGCAGCTACTTTGCTTCTGGAAAGTCCCCCAAAAAGCTTTGACACCTCAGTGGCCACAGTGGCTCTGCGGACGGCGTGAGCGAGGCGGATGGAAGTTCCCGCAGCCGCTCGCCCATCAGCCGTCGCGACTCCCCGGCGAATGTCCCCCCTGCGTCCGCCGAGCGCTTGTTTTGGCGCTGGAGCAGCAGACAAGGCTTGTTGGGAGCTGCATGCGGCTTGAATTTTAAGAGACAGGAGTCTGAGCGGGTGCTAGGGCTGCGGCTCAGACTTTTCCTGCTGGAGAGCTGCAATACGGGCTTCTGTGAGCGCCGTGGATCCCACACCAGACGGCTCTGCTGTTTGCGTTTAGCCCCTTTCCCTCGGTGGTAAGGTTTGGCCCTGCTTTGGTTCCCCGATGCCCCTGTGCCACCGCCCGGCTGGCTCTGGGTGAATCTGCCGGCTCTGGGCCGAGGGTTTCTCCTGAAGCCCCAGCTCCATCCTGCTCCGGGCTGAGACCCGCGAGGAGCGCGGGGCCCTCTGCACACAAAACACTTAGGGAGATGGAGCTTTGTGCTGTGCGATTTGCCCCCGATCTAATAAATGCGATCCATTAATTGGATCATTGCCTGCTTCTCCAGTTAATTTCCTGGATATTTTTAAATGTTAAAATGTAGTTTTTATAGTCTTTCATTATTTTTAGCCTTAAGCTTGACTATAATCGTCCCTGTAATGTAACTGTAAAAAACTCCTGGCTTTATATCATAAAGGAGGACATTAATTGTCATTTTTTGTGTACATCAGCAAGATCAAAACATGCTTCCTGATTACTTCTGTTTCTACATACAATCTCTTTGATATTTAGATATGAATAAAGTGTGTGTGTAATTTGAAAGTCAATTCTTCCCTCCCCGCTGCTTGTCATGGGTTCCTTTCAGAGGCTTATTTACCAAATTGATTTTAAAATTTAGTAATTGCCCTTCCAAAATGATTTCTCAATAATCAAAGTGTCTCTAAGCACAGAGTGGCAAAATATTTGTCCTCCTTGTTTCAGAAGATGCGCTCCGCGCCTCGGCCTTTTTCTCCTCCGGCGAGGGCGAACACAAATCTTTTCATCCCCCAAAAATCAACTCCAGGGAGAACTGGCTGCGAGAGAAGCTCAGCTCATGCCCCAGATTTTGCTTTTGTGCACAGATTATCAACACGACCAAAAAAAAATGCCCTTCCATCAAATCCATCACTGGGTCCCAGTGAGTTTTCCTGAGGCTGGAAGGGACAGAGGACAAATTTGCCAAGCTCGAGGTGGAACCACGGCTGAAGGGAAGATGAGGGGATGCTGCGGGGCTGGGGCAGGAGTGGCCAGAGCTGGAAATTCCACCCGAGGGACACCTTCCTCACCGGCGGCGGGGAATCCTCCGCTGCACCGCAGCCCCGATCCCAGTTTGTAAATGTAATCAACCTTGAGGTCTTGTTACTTCCACAGGTGCAATTAACATTACCATCTGCTAATCCATGATTAACGATGTTTACAAATACGCTACAACATGTTAAAATGTGCTGGCACTTCCACACACCACACCCCCCCTCCCCTTCTCCCTGTTTTGGTGTGGGAGCTGTGCCGCCCGCAGCAGCGCGGGAGGCATTTCCCAGTGGAGGGCTCCCCGTTTTGTTTTCATTATTTAAAAGTGCTGTTAAACTCCAAACCAGCTGTAGGAATGACAAGTTCAAATCAGAAGGTCAGTGCTGCTAAATGGGATTTAATTGCACAAGGGTTGAGGTACAAACTGATGAATCTGAATAATAAAACTTTGTGGGGAGCAACATATGGTGCAGTTTAAAGTGAATTTTTATTGATCATCCCACAACTGATGTGTTAATAGGATGGCAGTCTGCTTTGGGCTTGATATTGATGTGGTGTTTTAATAATGTCACACAGGAATAGTGTGGAGGGGTTTATAATATATATATATATATATATATATATATATATATATATATATATATATAAAGTGTTTTCTATTAACTGCCTTTTTCTTCTTAACACAGAGAGGAATACGTTATATTGCTACTGTATGTCCTCCAGATCTAGGTTACATGTAATTGCTTGGTAATTGGTAGAACCATGTAAAAGCCATGATATTTGCCAGTAAACCCTCCTAAGTTACCATGAAATTGAAGTGTGATATTTATTCTCTACAAAACTTGCTACCCACCTATCATGTACAATCAGGTTTGGTCATCGCAGAGGTGTCTTTGCAGCGGCTGTGCTGTGCGGAACGCCCGCACCGCTCGGATTTTGCACTGGCACCATCCTAATGACTGGAAGGGTTCCTGACTGGGAGGATAAGGGGTGATTTTGCTTCGAGGGAAGATGCTTTAACCTCCCTTGGGCTTCATTCTCAGGATTATGAAAGGTATTTCAAGGCCCAACTCAAAATGATGGAGCTTTGGTGGTAGCTGAAGAAGTTCTCGTGTTTTAGTGGAACTGGGAATAATAACTACGCTTACACTGGTTTATGAAGTCCTTGGAGATAACGTCTTTGTCGGTACACTGGGGCATATCCTCAGGTCGCCTGTATTTTAGCCTCTTGATAAGTAGGATGTCCAAAACTGTTCCCATCAGTAATTTACATGATTTAACCACAACTGGCTTAGAGACCTCCAGCACCATGGGCATGTGTGGGTTCAGATGTGAGGAGCCTCCGCTTTGGGTTTTCCCTCTGATGGAGGTTTTTCACCCCCTTTTGCGAAATGCCTGGGCAGGTCCAGTGATGACTCCTTATCGCCTGTTGGGTGGCCTTAAAGATGAGCAGAAGTAATTGCATTGCTTATGATCAATAGTTTTATATACTTTAAAAATGTGACAATACGCTGTGAATAGATGCAAAGTTAAACCTGCCAATTTTATTTAGTTATTTATTTATTTATTTTGCCAGCCTGTTTTAGAAGCTGCAAGCTCAGCAGTGTTTCCCCAGCGCTTGGGAAGCGGTAGCTCAGCTGTTTTCTCCGAAGCTCTGACCGTCACATCCTGCGCGTCCCACGGATCCAGCCCTGACTGCCAGGTCCCTTTTCACAGCCGCTTGCACAGGACGGAAGCTGTAGCGCCTGCAGTTGGGTATAAATGTCCCTCCTTAACATTTTTAAAGCTGCCTTTGAAAGGTTTGTACAGAAGATAAAAAATCCCTGGGTTCAGGGCGGGGTGTTACTGAAATGTCCGAGCACCAAACTGCCCACGGGAGAGCAGGCTGAGGGGACAGGCTCAGCCCCGTGGAGCAGCTCGGGGTGCCCAGCGCCGCCGAGGGCTCAGAGGTCCTCAGGTCAAAGCTTCTGTGCCTCTATAAATCATTAGCACTCTTCCAATGTTTAATTAATTATGGGAGCAACCGCTGCCTGCTCCTCCTGCAGGAGGCAACGACTAGTAAAACGATGCTTTCCCTCCTCTCCTCTTTCCGCCGCCCAAACCTGC